CGCAATATTACGTCCCCCTGGAACCGTTTATTTGAGACTGGCGCCAAACCCGAGATACTCAAAAGGTTCCGGTTATCTGAGGAATGCCATCGAAGAGTGATAAAAAATATAAACAAGAACGGACACAACAATTGAGTTAGGAGAACGGAAACGACAAAGACTGTGTACCTGCCTCGTCCTGAATACAGAATTCCTAGTAGCTCTGGAAACTTTCCCATCTGTGCTGCATAATAACTCCTATTGCCCTTACCTATTTAGGACGATGCGGAAATCTTGTTTAGATTGTTCTGTCATACGCTATGGTTATCAATCAACCTATACATATTTTGTACTGTATCAAGAGTACATTATTGAAGAAGAGGAGCGTTGCGGGGGAGGGGGGGGGGGGGGTAATGATTCTGCATACGTGGAGAGTACGCATGCATATTGCTTTGATTGGCACTCAAGGGGAGTGAGTTTGCGGGGTCCCAGCTTTGAGTGCATTGCCTCATTAACTCTGAAACACATGTGCAAAGGCCAATCAAAAATGGCGCATACTTCAGAATACATTAGAAAATCGTTACAAACCACTTTCAGAAAACGAGGGCTTGTACTTTACGTAAACTATGTTTGCGCTAAAATCATATTTGAGATTTCAGTACCAGAAATACCTACTCATAGTCTTATTCTTTTGCCATGCTTAAACTTTCATACTATATTCGTTTTTTTTTTTCAATGCATAGCATTTATAGGATTAGCTCCGCTGTTGTATTCTAGCCTTGAATGCAGCCTCAGCAGAGCGTGAAGTCGACAATTTCACAATCCGCGTGCAATCGGCGACTGCCCTAGAGCGGGGAATTTTTGTCTGTAGCAGAGCGGATTACACGTACACTATGTAGGCTTTTGTTTGCGAACTTTATGCACCACTAAAGCGGCGAAGGAGCGGAAATGGCGTGCACAGCAAGGTGAACAGGTGGAAGCAAGGGACGCGGCTGCGAAACAAGAGCGCCGGTCTCAGCGGTGACAATTAAGCCAGTTGCCATTACACAGACAGCGGCCGCCCCAGTTATACCGCCAGTTCATTGACAGTCAGTTAGGCGCTGGTATGTAGCGTGTGCGACACACTGTACTTTTGGGCGGTCCTGAACAAAGGCGTTTTGAATGCTTCGAATTGAAAACGTATTTGAGAAATGCCAGAGATAGCCAACTCTTTTCCCCACACGTGCTTCAGGCTGTTATCTTCAGGTATAGAATTTTTTTTCTTAAAATCACTCTTACCCATTGACTGACGAAGAAGAGACGGCTGTTCTAGAGCCCCGAGCGACTTACAGCGCGCACCAACATGCAAAACGCAGGGTATGAGCGGTCTGGACCTCTTCATTGAACTCAATCGGGACCATGCATGAGTCGCACATGCCTGTCTTGACGTGTGGTTTGCGAAACATGTATACCGACAGGCTGTGTTCGGAGGAAAACTTCTTATTAGACAAGATGCCCCGCTATACTTCTTTGCGAGAGGCCCACGACCGGCGCAATCGCACCCCATCCACAACCCTAATTAAAGACGCCTCAAACAACAGCTCTCATATGATGGTTGAAAGACTCACATACAAACGTCAAAAGTTGTGAATGTGATCCTGTAGCAGCATGATTATGGAAAGGTGCAAGCGAGCTGGACAAGAATGACGAAAATAATTCCCGGAGAAGGGGAGCAAGAGGGACAAAGGACAAACCCAAACCTCCAAAATAGAGATTTGCGTTTGTACTTGGTAACTCTTGTTTCCCTTCTCGAGAGAATATTTTCGTCAAGATTCTTTTTTTTTTTTTTTTTTTTATTTGCTATAGGAAAAATGTGAGGATCATCAATTATTTTCGTGCAGTAACACTTCACATTACTAATCTGTTTTCTAGATCGCTTGAAGGCACGTTAGATGAACGACGGACGGAGTTCACTGATTATGGAAAAAATGAATTTTGTTTACGCGTCGTTTTCCTCGAGGATATCGGACCACCTGCAGAAAAAAGTCCCACTGGCTCTGGCAGGTGTTCCGTCTGCTGAGATGTCTACAGGTTAATTCATTACTGAATACTATTAATGCGACTTCAATCCACTTGGATCGCATGCCCATGTCCAAGACTCGGTTATCTTTCAATATTTTAGCTCTACGCGGGGAACTCCGGCGACAAGTTCTTTCATCCTGTTCACCTGGTCGAATATACACATTCTTCAGCGTGTTTGTACAGTTTTTACGACCTTCGGCCTGCTTTTCTCAGGGTGAACTGTCACCAACACGCTTTGCTTTTAGTAATAATTTTGATTAATCTGTCAAATTTCCATCTTTTGGCGTTGTTCAATCTTAGAAAAACAGTGTGCCTCAACTAAAAGATAAAAATATAAAGAAACGTAGATGCTGTTTTTTTTTATACATAATTTTATGGTCAGGTACAGTGTAGAAAAAAATGAGGGCCTTCATATGTTCACATGGTGGCGCTTCTGATGGCGCTGCTCACGCTCAGAAGCGTAATTCGCCTCACGCAAATTTGATTTCTGCGCACTCGAAGCGCCCACACCTGGTGTGGGCGAATGACCGCTTGTTTGCAAGCGGCATATGGGTGTGGGACCGGACATTTTGTTGAAGGCCGTTTCGTCGAACGCCGTTTTATTGAATACCGTTTCATCGAACGCCGTTTCATCGAACGGCGTTTCATCGAACGGCGTTTCATTGAACGCCGTTTCGTCAAACGCTGTTTCATTGAACGCCCGTCAAACGCCGTTTCATCGAATTGTCTGCTCGAATTAAAAATATAATGCAGAACCGGAATTTACCAGTTTAAAAATGGCTGGCTCCACCTGGCAGCAAACTGGGTTCGAGGATTTTGGGGATGAGTCAATGCGCGCATCGGAAGGGGACTAAAGAAACGCTTTTTTGAAAGAGCTTGAGGAGCAAAGGTTAGGCCTTAATAGGCATTCATGGGGCATTGGGGAAGCCCAATCTAGTTCAGTGCAGTTCAGTAATGCCAGCGGGGTCTAGCCTCCTTGGCCGAAGGAGTGCTTGCGATCGCTTGAAAACGTGCTCGCGCACTTTCATACCAGAGCCTTCAAAAACAGCAAATTAAAAAAAAGGAAAAAAAAAAAGTCATGGGACAGTTTGAGAAAGTCGCCAGTTCAGGAGGCTCTGGGATGTCAGTAAGCCGTACGGGCACTCCCAAGACCGAAAGAGAAAGATCCTGCTGGCTAAATCCAGCTGCAGTGATCTAGATTTGGACTCCCTCAAACTCTTCGCCCCCAAGTTTGTTCTATGACGCGGCTTCACCTTCGGAATCCTCGAACTTCGTTTTTTTTTTTTTTTTTGCCAGGTGTCGCCATTTATTTCAAAAACGACGGATTACCTATATTCATTGTGCTAGCGCGTCTCAGCTCGGAGCGTGAAGCGAAAGCTTCCGCTGCAGAACCTCATCGGCTCGAACTCCACCCCCTGTCCGTTCCAATCTGGATAAGTTTCGTACCGGCACGCGTTCGTGTAATCGCTACTGTTTGGTGCACGTTAAAAACCTCAAGTTACCGGTTGTACTGCACTGGCTAAATTTCTCATCTACAGCTAAGAGACCAGTCACCAGATGAGGCGCGCTAGCATCATGGCCGTCTAAACATACAAGCAGCACAGGTTTTTGTTATTTTGAGTGCCCGAATACAGCAACTATGGAAGTGCGTTTCATAGTGCTTTCCGTACGATTATTACAAACGCTTGGCAGGCACAGCAACTAAGCCGCAACTTCAACTGCGTAACGATGACCACGCGTGACGATTCTACCCTCCTGGTTGCAAAGTGTACTGCTGTTCTGGTTTCTACTTTACCGCCTACATCCTTTTCGGTTCCCGAACGTGTGGCTTAAATCGTTACTTATGTTCTGCGTCGTTTTCTGCTTGGAAAGTCGACAACCCTTTGTCTGGTTTCCAAGTTGACATAGGTTTCGATTCCAAAGCTTACGAGATAACGTTTTGAAGACTTCCTTGTTGTCTGCAGTTTCAGGCTTTCCACCAAGAATGGCTACAAGCTCACCCGCCCAACTCGTTTTTCATCAGGGCAGTTTATTGGTGCGAAGGCGACAACCTAGACCTGTTGCTGTCCTATGTCAAAGCTGCGCGCTCTCACCCGAAGGCACTGCGCCTCTACTTTCAAGTCACAAAAAAAATAAATGTGCAATGGAACGTAAGAGTTGTCATTATTTGTGTCATTACTTGGCAAAATACCTGCGTGCGGGGAGGCACCTGCCGTACTATAACAAAAGGGAATGAAAAATTCGACGAATCGGCCGTCAACAGTTCGCGTAAACTGCGTTCGATGAAGCGTACACTTTTTCGATGAAACGGTGTTCGACGAAATGTCCGGGAAACGTCTTCCGCAAGCCTGAACCGCCGGGTTGTTGCGCGAACAATTTCCGCGGGCGTTACCGGCTACGACCGTTAACACGATCATAATGGCATAAATGGGCAATATCTTTTCCTCTATGTTGAACTCATCTCGTTAGTATCTCGCACAGCTTTCCGGGTACGCAAAGTTCGCTGGCATCATAAGCCATCGGCCCTACACCCTGGAACTTTACCTTGGTTCGCCCCTCGGAATGCGTTCCTCCACTTCAAGGCGAGTGTGTGTTTGACCACAAACTTTCGTCTTTGAGCAGAATACGGGCAAGGTGAGGGGAACGGTAGCCGCAGCTGCCGGTATAGAGTTTTTTTTTTATCTAAAAAAATAAATAAAAATAATCGCCGACCTCGCTCTTTGGGAGAGAAACCGGACGTCTGAAGGTCAGCTTCTTCTTCTGCCCCATAGAAAAAAAGGGGACCTTGGCTTTCTTTCCTTTTTTTTTTTTCTTTTCTATCTGGCCGGCTTCATTCTCTCCGCGCAGTCGGCTCATCTTCTTGCAAGGTTCGGCCAGCTTGGTCTCTGACGCTCGTGACGTTCGGCGCCAAACCTGTTACGTATGTGTTGTCGTCAGCAGTCCATCCCTGGAGCGCATTTTTATGCGGGAGCACCGCACTCCGGGACTTCAAAAGAGAATCCGAGGCGTTCGATCCGGGCTGCGTTCGGCCTGCCTACCGGAATACTCAACTTGACACGACAAGGAGGACTTTTTCGATTAGTGACAGCTCGAGTGGGCGCAGTTTGGTTGCAACGCACGGGAGGGATTCGGTCACCTTTGCTCGTTTTTTCTCCATGTCTCTACACACGTGAGTATTGTATTTCTCATTACTTGCGTTCTGAGATACCGTATACTGCATGCAAGCTTTGACCTAATTAAGATTAGGTACTACAACAAACGATGAGCATGCTTCCGTGGCCACCCGGATTAGATCTCTTCGGTCATGTAGCTCAAGCGGCAGCTTCAGCTGCACGCCGAGCGAAGACTGTTTTCACTAATTGCCTCTCTTAATGATGATCATTTGATGTCAAATTAGAGCCAAAGATTCAATGGAAAACCATTTTTCCGGGATGGATAATGGACATTTTTCGGAAATATGGTTTCCAGAGTAAATCAGTTTGGTATTTTCCTTATGGCTCTTTGTGTCAACTTCAGGGCGAAACATAATCCACAATGAGGAGAAAAGTGATTTTTTGGGGGAGTCGTATCTAGGTCACGGCGCCTCTATAAGCCAACAGAATCTAGGTGACGTTTTCGAGATCGGGGAAGCTTGCGCACGCGTTGTTTTCCTTTGAACCCAATCGCGCAGAAAGATTGCACCACTGATTTGAAAAAAAAAAAGGCGCATTCGTTTCTTACTTTAAATGAGCATAGCGATAATTTCAAGTGGCTTCGAATTATTATACATGAAAAACGCGTGGCGATTTGAATATTCAAAGGTGCATTGGAATGACACGTTGGTTTCATGCTGCATCTCCTTCGGTACTCTGAGTTGCTCCATAGCCGGTGACGCGTCGGGCTACGGTCACTGCCAGGATAAGAACGGCAGGGCGTCTCTTTCGGGTGCCGGGCACCCATGCACGCGCTCGCTGCCTTTCGTCATGCATCGACTGCGCGTGCACGCACCCTCAAAGCTCACGAGATGTCACAGTGCCAGAGAATCTAGGAAACTCCGGCTGGAGTTGGGACAACTGAAAGACCTCCCTGTCGTTTTTACCCTATCAGTGAGTATAACTAACAAGTACCACAAGACCCCCCCCCCCCCCCCCCCCCCCCCCTCCCCACCGTGCGATCGAAGAGTGCCTGTCAATTCTCGCCTTCCAAAAAAGCGTGGGAAAGCAAGGGGCATCGGCGGTTATTCGCGGACCTTTCTGCTCCACGGACACAGGAACTGGCCTACTTTCGTTCCTGCTTCGCCGGTCGTCCCAAAATAAACGCGCTTCGCCGCTTCGATGCAAGATGGAGTAGCAACTCGGGTTGTCCCATCTGACACTTGCCAGCTGTCAGTCTTGACGGTCACGAGCGACGCGGTCACCGAGTGTTCCGTGTTTTTTGAGTCTTGTGTCGCGTCCACCTCTGGCTTCTTTGCAAGCCGAGTGTTTCAAGCCCTCAGGTACCGAACTCCTTCGCTCGCGTTGCCCGGAACAGACTAGAGGAAGTGGCAGATATTGTTTTTGTGTTGTCCTCCTCTCCTTTCAGTCTGAAGCGTTTCTACTTCCTCCCCGAACGGCGCTGTCTCTTCCTAGTTCAGGGCCCTGTTATGACGTTTCTTCTGCAATCTTCGCTGGAAGGGAACAGCGTTAGAGAGAAAGGGAACTGGTGGCGACTCGGAGAAAAGAAAGTTGGTCAGAATGGTCTCGGATCTAGCATTTGCAGTCTCTCTGCGAGAAGTTCGCTCTTGGCGGTGTTCTTTCGCAAGAATCGGGCTTTGGTCCCGGGTTTCCCCAGTGCTCTTTGTGGCCCTGCTGATTTTCTTCTGGATCAGAGAGGAAACGTCCGGTAGTCTGCCTGCAAGGTACTGTGAGAGTTCTATTTTTGTTCCGGCCGCCAGTTAGGCGTAGCTTGTTCTCCTACACGATACGTTGGTTCCACGGAAACTGTTATTGTTTAGCACACGCGGCGTATGTGTTTCAAAGTTTATGGGTGAAAGATGTACGTGATGGTTCATGACTAATGTTTGAATTCATACAGATGTGCGCAGTGTTACAGTCCTTACTTCTTGAACTCCTGGTGCCCTGACTATATATGGAAGTAGAGTCATGCGGGTATGCTTAAATATTCACACTTTCTTATTGATTTCACATATCAGTGTCAAAAGGACCAATCTTGTTTTTTCCAATAAATGATTTTGTCGGAATCTTCGATTGATAATCACGCAAGAAAGGTGTTTGTCTGGGTTTTAAATAGACGTTAAATCTCGCCCCAATTGACACTTTTCAAAAGGACGCGCCATCAAGCACCTGCTGCGCCAATTTTCCGAGTCCGCGAAGGCTGCGTCGGCGTTCGGCGAGAGTTTGGATCCAATCACGCGCTTCGTTTCCAATGGATGGATGGAGCATTATATCGGGCGGCTGCTTGCGCCACCTAGCCTAGTTGCACGTCATTCAGTTCTCCATAGATAATTTCCACCAGTTTTTCAATCTCCACTTTGTCATTAAAATGCACTTAACATCCATTCTTCCATTCTTGTCTGCAAACCCCAGCGCTCCGGCCAAATTTGGGAGCGCTTGGGGGGGGGGGGGGGGGGGTGCAAGCCCTGTGTACATGTAAGAAATGGCAACCACCAATGCTGCTTGACGGAGCTTTGACAAGGTTCTAGTCAGCCATCAAGAACGTTAACGATGTCAAAACCAGCCTATTGACTTCATGAAATGAGTAGGTTTGGGATGTTAGACAGCAGAACAAGACAAAGCAGCCTTACGGATGGGACGCGAGAAAGGTCGTCCACTAACCCTGACTGGTCGCCCTCTCCAGCGGGACACTTGACTCCATAGGATGCTGGAAGGATGGCCCGGGGAAGAAAAGAAAAATGACAGTCGATGTAGATGTCTCGTAGTGTCTTTCCGAGTAAGGCTACACGAGACAGCTAGCTACGACAAGCGCTTTTGATTGTATTTTGTATTTCCGAGCGCGAACACTCAACCTTGACACTCTTTGTTGATAATGCGCCCTTCAAGGCGCATAACGCCTTCGCTAAGTGCGGGTGAGAAATATCCAAGAGGGTGACAAAATTTCCTCCTCGTTTGCGCGCAACAAAAAAATGTTTGCAACGCGAAGAAAGGAGAAGCAGCCGTTTGCAATTCTTTTCTCTTCATAACGTTGTCCGGCTAAGTGACAAGGTTTACATAAGATGCACGCTCATGGTTCGCAGAGTTTTACCGGAAGCGCCTACCGAAAGAAATTGCTCGTCATCACGATTGGTTTACTACTTGCCAAGTTGATCTTAGATTGCATTCTTTGCGCTTTCCTTTGTTTCATTAACTTTTTTTTCTTTGTTCTCTCGTCATGGGATGGTATGTCAGATATTTGGCCAAGATTCCGTCCCATGACGCTCGCAAGTGCGCAGATTTTGCCCATGAAGGCAGCTATTATCTCCTGTAGAGACCATACATTTTGCGGCGATTGTCTGCGGCCCGAGGGCGACCCTATTTTGACATTCACAACAGGAAGCGCCTGCGTTCCTCTCGGGCCAAATTATCCTTCGGCCTCCTGAGACAATGAGATTTAAGACGAAGAAAGCCCGTGTCTTGTTTGTTAAAGAGAGTCCTTTTGCACGTCGAGGGTAGGACTTGAATGCGGATGAAAGAGACGATGCTGGAGCAACTTTATTGTTCGTAAAAGGATGTCGGAAGCCCAATCCAATTTTTTTTCTTCAGAAATATGGGTTTGAGAGTATGTGGATTACGCGCCCTCACTCTCTTTCTGCTGTCCGAGCAGAAAGGGAAGCTAGTTTTTTTTTTTTTGTATCGACTTGGGGGCTCAAGATATTCTACAATGGGGACAAAAGCGATGTTTGAGAGATCCCAGTGTCTCCGTGAGTCAACAGGATGTGTCCGACGTCGAACGAATCGGAGAAAACTTGCAAGCGGGTTATTTTTTGCCACTTTATTTTGAACCCAGTCAGACACCCAGATGGCAGCACCTACTTAGATTATGGCGAATTGATGAGCGATTAGGATAATGGATTAAGTTCGTTCCACGCCACTCTAGGACAACGCCACCATAAAAAAAGAAGAAGAAAGCGAGGCATCTCGTTTTTGAGCAAAAATCAGTAGTTTTAGAAATAACAGGCGCCACCTAGCGGAAAACGGGGTTTGAAGATTACCAGGATGAAACAGTGCGCGAATTAGGAAGGAGGGGTAAGAAGAGTCTTAGAACGAACTCTGAGGGCAAAAGGCGCCATAGTGCGCACAACGCAGACGTTGCGGGAGCCCAATCTAGGTCATTTGTGGTCAGTGGAGCCAGCAAGAGCTAGCTTCCTTGGTCGAGAGAGTGCCCGTGCTCGCTAGAGCACGTACTCACACTATTTTCTTTTTATACCAGAACCTCCTCTACCGGCGGTTTCGAAAATGGTTCATTGCGCCGTGCAAAAAGGGGTATGCGTTCGTCATAAATCTGGCTTGAAGTCAACGTCTTCGGATCGGAAACTTTTGTTGAATCGATGGACAGTTTTATAAAGTCGCCGGTTCAAGAGGTTCTGATATGAAAATACGTGAACAATGCGCGGATTAGGAAGGAGCGTTCCAGAGCGAACTTGAGGGCGAAAAGATAAGCCACAGAAGGAACAAGAGAGACTCTGGGGGAGCCCAGCCGGATCTTGCTTTCGTCGTGGAGGGAGTGCCCGTGCTCGCTTGACCACGTGTTCACATATTCTCCTGCCCCAACCTCCTCAACCGGCGACTTTCTGAAATCGTCCATTCGTCTGTGAAAGGGCGAATGTGTTTATAAAATGTCGGTCAGTGTTTCTTCGTTTTCTCCCTTCTAGACTAGAGTGCCTTCATGTTTGCTTTGCGGGACATGAAGGCACCCTATTCTGGACTTGCATCCCTTGCCGATAGGCGGAAATTTTCATTCAAAAAGTAGTATGCTTTTACAAAATCAATCATTAAAAAAAGTCACATGTTTTATTGCGATTGCTATTTTATTCTCTGCCTTGCGGCATTACATTTCCAATCGTAAACATAGGAGCCACGTAAGCGCAGGTGTCATTACATTGAATGAATGCGCGAGGCCAATGTGTCTAAGAAAACAATTTGAAAGCAAAGTTCGCCAGCGGTCGGTGTTTGTTGCTTACACACGACACCCTTATTCGTAAACTCCCTCGGGTCATTTCGTTAAATTCGAAAGTCTTCCTAGACGTAGCAATCTCCACATACATGATCAAAAAAAAAAAAAAAACACACACACTCCGGACGGTATTTGCTTCTGTAATCGCGGAAGGCGTACGTTCTAATCTAAAGATTAGAACTGATCCGTTTGCCAGATTGGGTGTAGATCCAAATGATACAGGAAAAAAAGAAAAAAAAAAACGGCGTTGAGTCATCGGATTATAATCCAGAGTCCACGTTCGAGGCCCACGCCGCCGGACCACCGGACGAAAGCGCCTATCTCGACGTAGATGCGATTCGTATCGACGCTCTGTGGCCTCCTTCGAGCCCCCCGTGACACACAATTGGACGGAGAGCCCGCGCGTGGAAAGGATGGAGCCGTGCAAACGGTCGTCTGGCCCGGCCCAGCCGACTTTTCGACGCAGTCTTTTTTTTCCTCCTGCACGCACACGAGACGTTCTTTCTGCGCGCTCGGATTAAATGTGCCGGATTCGACGGGCCGCCGCCGCCGCTCCAACGCAACTCTGAGACCGGCCGCCAGGTACCGTTCTACTTCGCGCGCTTCTTCGGGAGGGTTGCTTGTTAGCCGCTAACCCTAAGCCCCGGTCAGATTGCTAATACGTCGTATATAAAAAAAAAAAAAATTCCTCGGGTACTGTCTAGGGAGTGTTCTTTTTTCCCTCGTGTCCTGACAGGTTGGTCGCACAAAAACTGTCTTTGGGTATGTTAGACGCATGGATGAAGTCAACGTGTTTCGAACGTGCTTGAGACTTGTTCGCAGATATAATTTTGTCTTCATGTATGTGTTTTTTGTGTGTCGTGCAAAACATCCGTGCCGTGAATTTTAAACGCTGTCTGGAGTTTTTGACAAAGCGAGCATTGATCAACGATTCTTCGCTGACGAAACGCGGGATCAATCATTCTAATAGGACGAAACTAGTGATCGACGATTTTATACAACGAAGCTCTTATATAACGAAATTCGTGATAAACGACTTTAGAATAGCGAATCTCGTGATCAACGAATTTTATATAACGAAACTCGTAATTAACGATGCTCATATGAATAATCTCGTGATCACCGATTTTTTTACAAGAAATCTCGTGATCGACTTTTATTTTATAACGAAATTCCTATTAAGATGAATCACTGGCGTGTTCCAGTGACATTTACGATAAGGAAAGAGGGACATTGAAGACAAACAGACAAGACAGGCTTTCGTTTGCCAACATTTCGAAAGGTGACGCATGCAGTTAGCAACTGTAGCGCCAGTGCCAGGTGTAACACCTGGAACTGTAGATCGATTTCGTAATTACAATGTCTGCGGAATTTTTGTTGTTTTGTAGCCGTGTCAAGTATGCTACTTGTAGCTAAAGACGCGTCGTTATCGGGGTGCCGTCGCCCGACGCAAACGTGTCGTCAGAACGAGACGTCCATCATCGCGGCGGGTTTTGTAAGTCAAATGTCCCTGACGCAGAATTCAGGACTCCTCGGTTTCCTCAATGCCAAGGTGTATATATGCATGTAGCACGGAGCCGACAGTCGGGGAAGTCTGTCGCAGCCGCTCATAGTCTAGTCGCTGCGATAGACGTCAAGCACTGCGATGGTTTGCGACGTCACCGATTTCTGCCTTGTCATTCGGACGATTGACTTTAATATTAGGTCTGAACTTTTGATCTCGCTGCTTTTACGAGGTTTTTACCTGGTTGAAGTGCCGAAATGACTTTGTGTACGAGCCCGACCTCCCTGGAAGCTATGATAACTTAGAACTAGCTTATGCTGGAAATTAGCTTTAAGAACGACGAACCAAGAAGCTATAGGATAACATCTTTCTCGGGTCAGTCAGGCTTTCTAAATCAAAGACAGATTACAATGAAAAAGAAGAGGTACTGTCATTTAATACGTCTCGACGAGTATAAAACTTGTAAAATAAAAAGCTAGGCAAAGTAAAAAAAAAAAACGAAATAAAAGGTGCAACAAGATATCATGACGGTACCGTGAGTCAAACTGAGCATACACCCTTGACACCGCCGGATGTTTTGCAGCAAATGAGATATTGTCATGCGTAGCTGGAACGTCGAATAGGAAGTCAGGCGAATCCCCAAGACCACCGCGGAGACGTAAAAAACAAACAAAAAACACGCACACAATAAAAATCGCAAAGCGCCACACATACGGCAGAGTGCGTTGAACCCGGACTTGACTCGCGTAAGGGGGCGCGCGTGCGTGTATGTGTGTCTCCGTAACGTCAAAGTAAGATGTAGGTTATATGAAGGACTCTAGAGTTGGCCAGCGAGCGCGCAGACTTTGTGTTTGAAGACGGCGTCAAAACAAGCGATCATGGCGGCAAACGTTTTCCGTCTCCCGTTTGCCAAGGGAGGCCCTCACTGTCTCCCCCCGCGCGAACAAAGAATGTTTTTCTTTTTCTTTCGTCGTGGTCTGACTGATTGTGTGGCTCGTCCTCCTTGCATCGGAATCGCAAATCCGGAAAACCTGCAACCACTTTTGCCGCCCCCGCATGATTTCCTTCTGGAATGTCGCGGATGGTTTATGCCTCCGCCAGATTGCATCGTGAGGACGATCGTTTGAGGCAAGCGAAGAACCGGCTCTCTTCCGTCGAGCTGTGTTGCGGGTGGGTCATTTCGATCTTCGAATGTAGGTTGCGTCAATGTAACCGTTGTTTTTGTGGCAAGCGATACGGTAGGTGCCTGTGTGCGTACACTCGAGTAATGGTCTCTCATGTGAAGATGTGAAGGCTTTGGGTCCAGCAGCGTCGCGGATCGTGGTATTACGTTACCATGAATCAGTATTCACACATCGTGTGTACATGTACCTGATGCAAAAAAAGGGCCCCAGCCGATAACTTTATTGTCGGCATGCCCTCGCGGTTCCTCTGACGTTGGCAGCGCGATAGTCGATGCAACCGAGATGTAGCGGTTCTAACAGAACGAAACAGGAAAGTCGCTACGAAGAGTAGACAATGTTTCTAAAACTCGAATGTGCCTTTTATCCACGCGTCATGTTGACTCGTACACTTCTCATGATCTTCATAAATCACGCCACGGTTTCATCGGAAACGTCATAAACGGATGCGGCTTCAAAGAGTCCACACGGTTGAGTCTTTTGGGGAGTTTTAGAAGGTCGCTTCGGTACCTCCGATAACAATACCCCATAACGATACCACGCATGCGCAAAGATGTCGGCGGAGTATCGAGTATATCGTTACTGAGGTATCGGAGCGATCTACTAAAACGTTTCAGCGTTATTTGTGCTTAAAATGCGTGTATTTTCATTTCTGAGACAAGAAATACGGACGCGTCCACGTCCCACCTCAGGTGTAGTCTCCCACCCCCAAAGCAAACAAAAAAATTAATTGATTTATAAGCGAGGTGTAGTTAAACACTGTGGGTAAATTCCACCATCAGCAATGTTGACAAAAAAAAAAAAAAAAAGGTCGGCTGAAAAAAAGTCCGAGGAGTTTGACGGGATGAAGCCCAACCCCTTCATTTTGGCATGTTGTCTAATTCAGAAGCTCTCGTCTTCATTGGTTTACTATTTTCTTAAAACAACTTCTGGGAGGAGAAACTTTAACCAACCAAAGTAGAAACGGCGAGGAAAATAAGACAGAAACCAACGTCAGAAACGATGATTGCTTCAATCCTCTCCACTCGGTGGCAGGTGTTTTAAGAAAAAAAAGAGAAACTTACACCAGCTCGTCTGCGCCTCCCCTCTTTTACCTTTATTGCCTTAAGCCGCAATTATATTGCTAGTGCATCATACAAAAGACAATTTGCAGAGATTGCCTGAAGCGTGCTTCGTTCTTGGACAACGGTCCCGCCACATTGGTATTTATGCGGAGTTCAAGTTCGCCTGCTTCTTGCGCAGGAGTTGGGGTGATGTCAGAACGCCGAGCTGTGATTGGTTTTGAATGAGGATAGCGGGAAGACCTCAAGGCAGCTTGCTTTGAGGTCTACCCACTATCCTTCAATCAGAGCCAATCAGAACTCAGCGTCTTTATGACGTCACCGCAACTCCTGCGCAAGAAGCAGACGACTTTCTCTCCGCTACATGTTCGAAGCATGCACATGCATGAAGCAAACGTGCTTCATGTCATCATCATGTCTGCAGCGAACTCCGACCTCGGCTTTATGTGCACTCCTAATTCCTGTTCACTGCATGTGGGGTTTATGACCGGGCGGGGCGTGATTTCTTTCTCCCAATGACCAAACGTCCCTTCTTGTGCTCGCAGGATGACTGTGGCGGAATCTCGCAACTGGCTTCTGCCAGACCGAGATCCCCGGGTGGAAGGATGGGTGTTCATCGGAAGTCCCGTGGCCGTGGTGACGGTGCTATCGTGCTACGCCTACTTTGTCAAGATTTGGGGTCCCCGGATGATGAAGAACGCCAAGCCGTTCGACCTCCGGCACGTAATCTTGTGCTACAACGCCGCCATGGTGTTGGCTAACCTGGCCATCGCGACGCGCGTGGGCTACTACGCCTTCGTCACGGGACACTACCACATCTTCCTGCAGGGTCCCGACCTGTCCACGAGACCCACCACCATGCTCCTGCTTCAGGTGACTTTCTTAACCTTGATTACGAGGCTCGTTCGATGTAGTGACGTATTCGGTCCTTAAATGACCCAAGCACTGCTCCTGCTCAATTTCTATTCAGAATTATTGGGAAACCCCTTAAAAAAAGAAGAAGAAGAAAAGAAAAGAAAAGCCTAGAGGCATTCTTTTTGGTGGCATTCATTGGTATAGATAAGTAAATGTGTTACTTCTAAGTAAGGCAGTCATGTCAAGTAATAGTATGCTTTCAGGTACCTTCCCGTTTACGCGTTTAATGGCCGAAAAGCCGAAAGGCGTAGGTAATTTTTAATCTGCGTTTAGAAACATTTTGAAGCAGCCTGGGTCTAAGGAAATATGAAAGTTGACACCAAAAGAAGAGAAGTGTTTAGACATACCAAACTCTATCAAAAAAAAAAAAAAAAAGAGAAAGGAAGCCTGACGTGGTGAAAACTTGGTTTTGTTCTACTTAACAATATTCTTACCTCGTCGGACACGACAATGTACATTTATTTTGACTGTGTCCGTACGCCATGACTATGTCGAAGATGGTTTGGAAGTCGGAAAGCAGACCTGAACGCATCCTTGAAATGTATACATGTGGAGGGCATATCATATGCTAGATTTCTTAATTCTCACCAAAAGGGTCGAAACTCAAACTGCGGAAAGTTTGATCGGTCAAAACATTAAAGATTTGCCACTAATGACGGTGCGTTTTTTGTCCTTCTATTTCCAGGTCTCCTGGTGGTACCTTATGCTCCGCCTTTCGGAGTGCATTGAGACCGTCTTCTTTGTGCTTCGCAAGAAGTTCAACCAAGTCAGCGGTCTGCACGTCTTCCACCACGTGTCCGTGGCTTTCTGCACATACTTCTACATCACGTACGGAGGATTCTCGATCGCCTGCTTCGAGACAGTCTTCAACTCCACCGTCCACGTCATGATGTACGCCTACTACTTCCTGGCTGCCCTGGGACCGGGCATCCAGAAGCACCTCTGGTGGAAGAAATACCTCACCAGGTTCCAGCTGGTGCAGTTCATTGTGATGATCGTGAGGAACTGCTGTCTGGTGTACACGCTCGGCATGCCCTACTCCTCGCTGCCCCTGTTTATGCTGTCCCAGTGCGTCATCTTCTTCGTGCAGTTCCTCAGCTTCTACATCAGGTCCTACAAGTCCAACATGGTTAGGGTTATCAAATGTGACGGTTCTTCGCCGGACGCCCACTGGAAGGATGAGCAGGTCAAGGCCAACTGAGAGTGTGCGCCAAGGATTCGAAAGAACGTAATTGAGGTTGTTAGTGCTGTTGATGCGTGGACCGAGGATTGTCTCCGAAAAGTTGGACGCATCTGCTCGTCGAGGTTGGACGTTGGATGTGCAACTTTGATTAACTTATTTATCGAAATGGACAAAACAAAGTTGGCGCGGACAGATTTGCTTCCATGGTACAGTTGTGCCTGATGCAGTCTGTCAGCGGTTCAGCGCGCGTCTGTACAGCTTGTAATATACTGGTTGCGTGTTTATAGTTTATTTTTGATATTGTGCATCATTTATTACCAAGGACTTTTTTAAATGATACGTGTTGTATTGTAACATCTATTTTTTATGGCTCAAATCGGTTTGCGTAAGCGCGCCGGAGCAAATTCTGTACATAGCCAAATAAAAAGTGTCCTCCTTAATTTCTGACAAACGTGCCTGTGCCAGTGATTTTAGTGTGCTTAGTTCTATAGGTTTACATTTGTGGACGGTGGCACAGCTCACCCAGCACCACCTATACTTTTGTGGTATCAAGAACAGAGGAAGTTTGTTCTTGATACCACAAAAGTATAGGTGGTGTATAGTTCACGAGGTAGTTCTCGTGAGAACTACCTCGTGACCGAAGTAGTTCTCACGAGATTTGGTTGTCGAAGGAAGAAACGATGCGTTTCGCGTTTGAAACAAGAACGTCTTAATAAAGAAAAAAAAAAAAAATTAAGATGTACCTACGAGGGGGGACCCAAAAGAGACCGGAATTTAGTTTTACAAAGTCGTGTATGTACTTTTTCAATTTTCTGCGTTAATCACCTTTAAAGTAGGCTCCATTTGAGTGAACGCATCGGTCCAGACTCCAAACGTGTTTTCCACTTTTCGAAACAATTCTGGAACTCAATCAAATTAATGCCTGTCAATGCTTGCCTCATTTTTTGTTTGACCTCTTTCACATCCCCACAGAACGTTTTTCTTTCAACTTTTTTAATACGGTCGAGCAGAAAGAAAAAAAAAAATCAAGCGGTGCGAGGGGGGGGGGGGGGGGGGGAGCGGTGTTCTCGTGATGGAACCCACCGTCTTTTTCCTTTCCTAGAAATCAGGGCGTTTCTTCATCACTGAGTTGTGCAAGCGTCACAAAACTCTTAAGTAAAACACCAGGGGCCCTAATCTGGACACTTGGCGGAAAGTCGGCGAGAAATTCGCCTGCTATGATTGGCCGGCGCCAAGGTCAAGTGTGGTGTTGTCCAATCGCGGCCGCCAGATTTCTCGCCGTCGTTTTCGCCAAGCGTCCAGCTTAGGGCCCCTGATTAACATTTTCTCCGGGAGGAACAAAGAAGGAACGAACAATGCCCGAATTTTTTCGATGTTTTCATCAGATGAGGAGGTTCAGGGTTGCCCTGAATGATGTTGGTCGTCGATCAATAGTTCACCGGTCTCGAGGCGAGAAAACCCCTCGTAGATCTGCGATTTCTTCATAGCATCTCATTTGCAAGCGTATGAAGCATTACAAGAGTTTCCTTCACCGTTGTTTCTAAAAGGAAACGAAATTTCACGGCCACACGCAATTCCTTCAACTCAAACATTTCACACACACACACACACACACACACAAAAAAAAAAAAAAGACAGTCAATGGTTTTGAAACGCTTGGGGAAGAAATTTACAACATGCCGCCAGAACTTTGGCAGACGACGCCGGTCGGCAAACTGACTCGAAAGGAGTGCCGCTATAAACGCTGCTATAAAGCGGCCGCCCTCCAGAAGTTTATTCCCGCTACTTTTTGGGTCCCCCGTCACTCGTACGTATATCTCAATTCAACACACGGAAGGAGAAATTAGTAACGCTCTGCGAGGCGCCGGACTCTTGAGCTGAATACGAGTATAAAATAAGCAAAGCCACGCTTGCACTAGAGCATTTTGAGGTCATCGCAGCCAGCTCGAACACAGACACAGACGACACGACGGCTGGGCCTCCAGGCGTCTGGCCAACGCCAACTAGAATACTCAACGCCTGTAAACATTCCCCTCTTTCTCCATAGAACGTCATCACCTTTCGGAGCGTTGATTGGACACGAGGTCCAGCCGAGCGCTGACGCCACACTCGCACCCTATGGGGTGTCTTCGCTCGATCTCACTGTGATGACGTCAAAATTCCAGTGCACAGGCTTTGATTATTCTTCGAACCCAATTGCTGGTGCTTAGAGGATAAGTACGTTTCACTGCACCCTCATTTTATTATTATATAGTTTTAGATGTGAAATAATGAAATAAAATAAACGCCTATCGCTCGCTCGTGCTATCAGTGTCGGGCGGTGTACGTATATGTGGTTCCGAAGAGGTCAGATATTTGTAGAAAAAGGCAATATGGAAGCGAACTTCGTTAAAATCATGTTGTCCAAAAACGTAATGATCTATTGGCAGTACATGCAAGAGACGCCACTAAAAAAATCAGTTAAATTTATTCCTTTCATTGTGAGGCACTGATTATCGACGTCTTCAATTGAGATGCACTACTTTCGAATATTTTCTAACCGCTATCTCTTGTATGCACTGATGATCTCTATCAGTTGTATTTATGAGGGCCTTATTAAAGCATTAAATAGCAAAACAATTTTGGTACTTGTGATTCTGGAGGACAAATGAACAAAAATGAAGCGTTCAGTCACAAAAATAATGACGCGTCACCAAACATTAGATCGTAGTATTTGTTTTTATATGACTGATGAACAGGGAGAAAGAGCGTTTCTTTCATAAGCTGCACATTTACGTTACCTCAGGTTATTCAAAGACTACAACGTAGCATATTTGATAGCAGTAAAATGCGTTATTGCATGGCGATTACACGTAGACCTGCTTCTGTGAAACTAGTTACGGCTTCTTATAGCCTAGAAGAACATTTTTAAAACTAACACAATATGCAAATTGATTTCCTTCTTCTTTAAAACATATGCACCCCCGTTCCCCCCCCCCCCCCCCCCATTTTATTTATTTTTATTCATTCGCTGTCCCCGGGAGCGTGGCGCAGTATGTCAAGAATATGGAGATCGGCCGGTCACTAAGAAGACCACTCTACAAAAAGAAACAATGCCGATCGATGTACGTCGCTCTTGGAAGAACTGGCAACGAAGATGTCTGGGAAATATTGTGTAAAACGACTAGTACGGATAAAGGTGCGTAAAACAACAAAAAAAAACATGCGCTAGGAGTTATTTTGTCATGAAATTAACCACAGAGGCCGCCGATAAAACGTACTCGATCAGAAATTCCAATCTGCTGGAATTTCTGCAAATCCCACCTGGAGTAAGTAGAATTACAATCAAGCGTACTACGTTTCTCCAAATACGGGTACATTTTTGAGCCCGCGGAATCTTCGCCATCGAGACTAATCGCGCGCTTGCTTTAGCGAGGCCAGCTGAAAGGCGCAACACATAATTTCGCGAAAGTAACGAGTCGGCTGTCCTTGGATGATCGGTGCACACACCTGTCATTTCGGTGCACACGCTTTTGAATGGCGACATTGAAGGAAAGGCGCTGCTGTCGGCACTGCGCATGCGCAGACTTGCTTTGCAATACAGTCAAAAGTGCATCGTCACGGCGCTCGTCGTGCGTTTGCAATCACGAGCTAAATCAGTAAAAAAAAAACAAAAAACACGTTTACCCGATGGTAAAGTCGTCTGCTTCTTGCGTGGGTGTTGCGGTGAAGTCAGAAAAACGCCGAGCTTTGATTGGCTTTCATTGAAAGGATAGTGGGTAGACCTCAATGCTAGGTGTCTGGAGAGTTACCCAGTATTATTATTTCAACCAGCCAATAAGAACTCGGCGTTCTGACGTCATCGCAATCCCCGTGCAAGAAGCAGACGAACTTGCGCTCCGTATAGCAAACGCACAAAGGCGACGAGCGCTGTGACGATATACTGTTGGCACTGCTTGATTGGCCTCATCGAATTGTAGCTTTGGCTGCAAGTTGGCTGCAGACGTACTTGAGAGAGAGTTTTAGTCGATTGTTCCTACGACTCCGATAACGAAACCCGATACACCGCCGCCACTTTTGCGCACGCGCGTCGTATCGTTATCGGGTGTCAATATTGGGGTTATCTAAACGATCTACTAATATTCTCTAATAAGAAACAGTATAGACCTCCATTCGTTCACTCTCGTCCCCAGCCACCTGGTAGATATACCAGGTATGGGCGACGAAAACAAACAAACAAAAAAAGCATTTCATCCTGCAAATAGTAAACAAAAAGAAAGGAGGCAAAACGAGAATAGGTGACGGTACACGATTATATATCCTAATTGTAGAAGAGTAGTAAGTTGGGCGAGTTGGTAAACGTTGAACATGGTTAAAATCGCGCACAAAGAGACGAGGACAAACGAGGAAGGAACACAGAACACAGACAGGCGCGCACTCACAACTCTAGTATATTAAGTGAAGAAGAGAAAAATGAAGCACTATTATTTACAGGGGACAACGCCACCAGGGGGAAACAGATCATCCGCAGTCAAATGATCGCAAGAAGGCAACTTCTTTTTCGCTCAAAGCTACCGACGGCTGGCTAACGCAGCGATCGGTCAGGCTCAAGATGGTGAACGCCTCGAGCACCTCGCGCGTTTGTTTTTCTTTAAAGCGGCCAATGATTGATGTTTTTTCTAAAGATGGTGTGCACATACAGGTTTTACAGTGCACCGAAAGGTGACCTCCTACATTGGATGTTAAAGAAAGTTTATGCTCTCGTAGCCGGTCATTCAGACACCGTCCCGTCTGTCCTACATAGCACCTTCCACATGAAAGAGGAATGCTATATACAACGCCCGATGAACAGGGAACAAATGGCCGCACATGTTTTTTATGGCACGTGTTTTTTGATAATTTTTCCGCCTTTTCACGAACCTTAGAACAAATTTGTCGCATTTTCTTAGGGGCTGATAGTACTACGGGCACACCATACCTGCTGGCCACTTGTTTTAGGTTATGCGAAATTTTGTGTAGGTATGGCATAACCACCACCCGGTTTTTTTCCACGGGGCGCCTAGTTTTTTCACCCCCTTTTACGTTCTTTACCAGCGTTCCTATCACTTCGATTAAGACCTGATTCGGGAACCCTGAAGATTTTAGTCTATCGATCTGGCCCAAGAAACTCCGATGAATGGCATGGAAACATGAATTTTTTAGGGCTGAGGTGAGGCAAGAGGTAGCAATGCCTCTCTTCACCTCCTTGGAGTGCGAGGATGTGTAGTGAACAATACCTTTTTTGGAACGTGGTGAGAATGCCCAGCACAAGTGATCGGCGTGCAATGAGAGGAAAAGGTCTAAGAATTGCAACGCCCCTTCGTTAGGCTTCTCAAAAGTAAAGGTGAGCCCAAAACCGCACGTATGAAAAATGTCCATAATCGTAGTAACTAAATCTTGATCCGCAGTCTTTTTGTACAGTAAAAGAA